CGTTCATTAACTTCTCTTAATAACTCCATAGATAAAGGACTTGATGGTCTAATTTCTCACTGGTTTGTTACTTTAAGTCCGTCTCATATCCGCTCTCACTCTCTCCGCAGTATTTCCTCTTTATTTACCCTCGCTGCTCACATTCTGCCCCGAGGACTGTATTGAGTTACAGTAAAGCATTAAACTGTCCAAACAGGACCCGGGGAGATAATACAGAAGCCCACACACTGCCTGGGGTAATGTATAGTTAATTAAACTTCACTGAGAACTTAACTCAAAGGGGCAATAAGAGGGACTTATTTACAGTCCGTCTGCAGGGCATGGCCACGGCTGGAGTTCAAAACCACTGCTTCTCATGCTGATAGCAACATACATAGGTCATGATGTAGTGATAATGTCCTTATCAATCAAAGTCAAGTAAAAAAATAAACTGCTTTTGGTTTTAAGGCGTACAATAAGGCATGTTTCTTTGTTTTGTTTTACTGACACTGCCTGTAAAGAAAGGAGGTTGTATTTTTGGTATTTTATTGCACATTTAACATGAAACTATACAAAAGTAGCTCGTAAAACTTGTGAAAATTGATGGCGATATTATTTAATATTACTTAATTTACCAGGTACATTTGTCTGGTTCACTAGTATAGTTTTGTTCCCCATTAAATAAAAAAGCTAAAGGATTAAGTGATACTCTTTGAATAACCTAAAGATCTTTCTAGAATATTTTTTTTTTATCAGTAAGCCTTCAAATCTGTCAAAATTCGTAATATTAGAAGCTCTTTTAAATCGAAATACTTTCTTTCTGCGGTGGCTAAGATTCGGGTAATTTTATCACATGTTGTAACAAACTCAAAACTATTTGAGTTTTAAAAATGTGAGTAAAATCTTGACATCATTTTGCAGATAGCATTGTGTTTGTGTAATAGGTCGTTTTGTTTTACTGATTTTGTATAACTTTTGCATTTCTCCATGTGTAAGTTTCATGTTGGGTTGACTTTGTCTTTCCTTTTTTTAGTCTTTTTAAGGTAAATGTTTGAACAAGTGTTATGGTTGTGTTCTTATAAGCGGAAAGAAGCAAGAAACAAAGTAGAAAAATATGTATTTTTAGTAGGGCTTTCAAGTTAACACGTTAATAACGCGCTAACGCAATTTTTTTTTAACGCCACTAATTATTTTAACGTGCGATTAACGCAGACCACTCTTGAAAGTTTGCTGGGGAGACGCCTGGACACGGCGTCTATGAGCAGCAAGCTAAATGGGTGGCTACAGCTTAACATTGTGGAGGACGAGGGACTGTGTGAGATAATTCGGATCGCATCCAAAGTGTCGACTGCACATCACAGCGCATTATTTTGACCCTAGGTGGGAACTTCAGTCTCATGCTTTGACTGTTATGAAGACAGAGGAGCGGCCACTGTAAACAGGCTGGTCTGTTTGAGCAACTGGCTCAGTGCAGAGAAGTAGAAAGGGTTGGGAGAGAGAGAGAGAGAGAGAGAGAGAGAGAGAGAGAGAGAGAGAGAGAGAGAGAGAGAGAGAGAGAGAGAGAGAGAGATTCCAGGTTGTTGTGTTGAGAATATTCAGGAGAATATTTGTCATTGTTCCAATGATAATAAACAAACATTTGCATAAAGCATATTTGTCCACTCATATGTTGATAAGAGTATTACAAACTTGAAAAATATTCCTCTAAGGTACATTTAGAACAGATACAAAATGTGCGATTCATTTGCGATTAATCGCGATTAACCATTTTAATCGACTGACAGCCCTAATTTTGAGTAATGTTGGTACCACAACCATTTGGAGAACAGAAAGTGGAAGTGTGTTAGTGATAAAGCTACCTGTGTGTGTGTGTGTGTGTGTGTGTGTGTGTGTGTGTGTGTGTGTGTGTGTGTGTGTGTGTGTGTGTGTGTGTGTGTGTGTGTGTGTGTGTGTGTGTGTGTGTGTGTGTGTGTGTGTGTGTGTCTGAGCTGTTATCAGTGTGCACAGCGGCCTGGCTTAGGCTTCATGATTATGAGAGTTTGACAGTTTTCATAATCACAACGCAATAAATCTGCAACACCTGACAGCCTGACCATTACCCACCATTGTTTAACCACAACACGTTATGTAATCCAGCCGCTGCCTCTGAAACTGCTCGACATAAAGAAACGCAGGGGCTCTAAGCCCCCCTTTGCTTCTTGCATATATATTGAACATTAAGATACTAAGTTCGTTGAGTCCTTGTAGGGCAGCGAGCGTTAGAAATACTGATGTGTTTTGTGTCGTGGGACGATGAGAAACACTAGAGGACGAGTCAAGGTCTCCAGAAGCAGTGAAGTACTACATATTAATGCACTGTTAGTGTACAGTTTTATTATTATTATGCTGCTGTGTTTTTTGTATTTTTGTAACTCTGGCACAACAATTTCTTTCGGGATCGGGATCAGAA